TATAGAAGTTGTGAGTTTCTCAATTAGAAACCAATATACTCAACATAGTGTTTGAAAGAGCATATTCGTCAACAACAATATCCATACTTGTGCATGCATAACTGACAGAGCTTTCATGTTGCATTGTCATATAAGGTCAGAAAACTAGAATTCGATAGAAACTATATGTTTTATTTTAGTATATAGACTACATTGAATATATAAAATTGATTAAGGTCACTTTTAGTTGTCTTTCTAAATCTTGTTCTAATATCCATACTAAATATTGACCGACTTAGATGATATCTTTTAAGTCTGTTATATTTTTAGCTGCTACGAAAATAAAAATTAAGATTTGTTTTGAGATTTTAATTTTCAGCTTGTAGATAATTTATCAACGAAATGTTAAGCGAATGCAATGCAAAATATCAATTAATCTTCATGCTAAACGTTGAAAACTTGAAATGTCAACAACTTGGCTTATAAATAGAATACAAAATTTATTTAAGAAAATAAAAATTGAATACAAATTTATAAATCTAAGACACCAAAGACTAGATATTTTCAATTTTAAAAATATTCCAATACAGAGAACCTATCGGTAATGTATGCTGAAGTTTTCAAGACCCAAGATGAGAGATATAAAGAAATCCGACTAAACTTTAAGATAGGTAAACAGATATGTTAACAATTTACTTAGAATATATAGTATGAATGGTATTATTAGAGCTAGAATCTAGAATAATAAAATGTAAACTTCCATCCCATCCTATAAAGATACGATCGCTCTAGATTAATATTGAATTAAAAATGGCGCTATCCATAATATTTGCATATCGATCAAGTAAATATAAATACAAAGTGCAATTCCCATAAAGAGTTCAAGCACTGCGCACACCGATCGCAGCCCATTAATGTGTCAATATTGAAATTATAAAGATCGTACAGAATGAAATGCCTTGTCTAAAAATAGAAACCTCATAAATACATATTTGCGAATGCAAAGTGCAATAAACGCAAAATGTGTTGACGCCGCAGCCACAACAAACACATACATAGACACACACACATACACAGCACACATACGCAGTCAGGCAACTGGCACGCATATCGCTTATACGCACACTACGCACGCACACACCCATGCAATCACACTTACACTGACAGCAATTGTCAGCTAGCCAATCACGATCCCATTTACCGTTCCACAGTTCCACCATTCCCCTGCCCACCTTACGCGTGTTGCATTGGAAATGATATGCAAAACCATGAAGTGGTGAACTCTTCTATAAATAGAATCGCACGCAGTGAGATGAGAAATGTTTTCTTGGGTGCGAATTTTTATTTTGATATGTATAATGTATGTAAGCCGATGAGGGCGCGTAAAGCTGCACAGTATTTAGCGCCTTGTGGCGAAAATTTGGACTCTAAATAAATGTGGATAAAGATAACTCAAATATGTATATAATTATGAATATGTATGTACATATAAGTATATATAATACATTTTTAGCGAACGTCAGAGAAATGCGTCTATGCCATATGCTAGAGACATGGGAACTAAATCATTAGCCAGCCAAGCAATGCGATTCACGAATTTTCCATGACGGCTCTTTCTACGTAGATACAAAATGTATTTACCGAGAGCTCAATGTATGTATGTATATATAAATGTATATATGTGTGTGTATATCAAGGGAATGGAGGTTATTGTGGGTTATAGCTATGTGAATATATTGTCTTTTTCTCTATGCTCCACTTTTTGGAGCTCCGCTGTTGCTAATTGTATTCGTTTGTTATATATAAAAGAAAAAGTTGCTTATGATATTGTTGTTGTTGTTGTTGTTGGTGCCTTGATAAAGATCTAGTACAATGTATAGAAAAGATACAAGCCGCTAGCCAAATGGAACATCTTTATATAGTTCATATAGAACGAATTATAAATGCTCTACGAAAAATTTGAATTGGAACTTAATTAATATATTCACTTTAATACAAAAAAAATCAACATAAAGCTTAATTAATTTTTATGTGTTTTGATTTATTTATTTTTTGTTTCCTAATTGGGATTATGTGTTCCACTGTGCAACTTTATCGTATCCCTCTCTCATTCTTATGCTCTCGGTGCACTGTAAAACAAACCCACCACCCATTCCCGCTTCTTTCTGCTGTTGATATTTGCTCAATACATTTATTTTTGTAGTTCTAATGTACATTGTTGTTGTTTTCTTCTTTTTGCCTGTTGCCTCTACACTCGTCTCTTTACACACTTGTTACGCGTTGTTGCTGTTGCCGTTGCTGTCTGCTGCTGCTGTTGCTGCTGCTGCTGCTGACGTTGGCGCTGACGTTTCCACGCTTCGCCTTTTGGGGGCTATTCCGCTTCGGGCTGCGCCAGCATACGCTCAGTTGTTGTGCGGCGTTGAATACAAACGCGTCGATATCGCGTCGAGCGAAGCGATACTCAAAGCGTAAAGCAAAACGAACCGAAGGAACGAACGAGAAGAAAAAAAAACGCGCGCGTGCGTTTTGCTGCCAACGTCGATCGTCCATCGTGTGTATGAGACGAACAGAGATATATTGAGAGAGTGAGAGAGAGAAAGAAGGCGCATCTACTGCAAAATGTAATTACCGTAGAAATGAAGAAATCATCATAGTTTTGCGTAAATTGTTTTGATTTCTTTTGCGTGAAATCAATAAAAATACGAAATGCAGGGCCTTAATCGAAACTAATTGAACTCTTGTGATCACCGCCCATCGAGACAATTTCCTTTGCGCGGTCGTGTGACACAACGCGCTGCTTATCATTTTCACATGATCGTGCGAGCGGTATGCCCTGGTGCACCCCTCCCTCCCGCTACACCGCACACTCAACCCATCAGCTGCTTGGCTAACGTGCGATTCTAATATTGATTCATTGTGAATTTTAGTTAGCGGCGCCTGGCAACGTTTGCTTTCAGCTCTTCGATTTTATTTTTATTTTGTTTTGTCTAGTTGCTATTTTAAAAAAGTTCGCTTTTTTTTTCTTCGTCGCAAGATTTCGCTTAAATTAGCATGCACATAAAGGCGTCAATACCATCGCTCAACTGTTTGGCTTTATCCAAAGCAACAAGAAGCAAATATTTACATACATACATACATATATATTTCCTGTGCGAGAGCACCCTTAACTTCAGCCCCCTTTCCTGCCTACCCATTGTTTGTTGTGTAAACATATTGTTTTTATTGCCTTCGAGCATTTTATTTGCCATTCTCATTATGGCGAAATTCGGCAAATGGTTTCCGTTAGTTCCAAGTGGAATCGACTTTATTTTTGACACTATCAATAATGGCGCGTTATAGATAAAAAAAATACTTTTATTGTTATTAATATTTCGTTAGATATTAGCCCATCGTAACTACAGATACAGTCCACTCCACAAGAGAAAAAGGCACTTTGCCCCCTTCCAGCTAACTGTGATTAAAAAAAAAAAAAAACAGTTGCAACTGCCTGAGCGAGAGCGCAAAACTCTTTCCATGTTTAATATAAACAGTTAACTGAATACTTAATTGCACTTTCTACACTTCGTTGTTGTTGTTTTTGCGGTGATCTAAAAATAACTGAATGCGGTCATTGGTCCCTCGCACACCTCCGCACAGTCCAAACTGATTGCGCCGAGCGTCAATTTTTATGCTACAACGGATCATCGCAACAAAGAGAGAGGGACAGAGGGAAACAGAGAGAGAGAGAGAGAGAGAGAGATTTAATTGTAAAGAGAGCCAGCACACACTGTGCGCACTCGATTTGCCGCTACTGTTGTACAGTCAGCGTCCAGAATTGTGAGCACGCTCTTACTTAACTGCAGTTGATTCATAAAAATTCAAAATATATGTATGTATGTATGTATGTATGTACACAGCGCTTATCAGTTCGCCTGGTTGTGGAAAAATTTGTGCCTTTACTCTATTTATCAGTCATTAGCAGGGCAGCAGGTCTTCTCAGCTGTATACATGTGTGTGAGTGTGTCTGCGTCTGTGTTTGTGTGTGGCGGCGGCAAGTGCTGCTGGGCGTAAACATTTTGTTTACTTTATGAGCGGCTACGAGTGCAAGTAAATTCCCTCTCGGCCCCATATTTGTTAGCCAAAAAAAAAAAAAAAAATCAAATGCGCCGCTCAGCTGTACTTGTAAGAGTTCGCACATTGGGCACAGTTCAGAGTTTTCTAATTCAAATTAAAATTTCTGTAATATTTTATTTTTTAAAAACCTACGAGTTGATTTTATTACATTTTTATATAATGGTATATAGAAATAAATATATTTATTTATATAAATATAACCTATTTTTCACATTAATATGTGAACTAGGGGCCTCTGATTACACTTGATAAACTGACTAAACTTTGATATTAGTTACTTAGTCTATTGCAGACTCCTTCAATCAGTCTTTCAATCAGACAGTTCTACTTGAAAAGCTTCAAATGAGTTTGAAAAAGAAACATATTTAAATAACTGTATGATATATATGATGTTAGAATATTAAAACTTTCTTTTCCCCACTGACACATTTGTTGTCAATCATATTTCTTATTCACCCTTAGAAGCCCATAATTCCGTATAAGGGTTTCGATTGATGAAAATGCGATTTTAAGGCCTTCATATGCATGTTAATAGTATTAGTCGATCAATCAAGCCGTTGATGTATAGATGTATCCCCTTAAAAGTGTTTTCCTTCCATAAACTAAAAACCCCATTTCAACAATTGTAATGCATGCTAAATGTATTAGTCAACCAATCAATCAATCAGTTGATGTGTAGATGTATCGCTTTAGAAAGTCGTAGATTTTCACCGGTTTTTCACATTTTCGAGTGGATTTCAAATGAATAAGTTTGCAATGCCTTCAAATGCATTTTAAGATAATCAATTAATTATTTCCAATCAATCAATATTGATGTAGGAATATTTGTACCTTGAATTGCTTCGCTTTTTCTGGTACCAAAGCGCTCCACTATTATACGTAACTCTTTCTCTTTTGCTCTATTGCAGAAGTTGCAAACTTCGCCAACAACAACAACAACAATTGTAACTACATTAGCAACAACAACAACAACAATTGTATCAAAGTAACTGAAGATTCAAACGGTGAAAAGAATCGTATCTTTGACTGCTTTGGCAAGAGGGAACAACCGGAGCAGCAACAGCAGGAGTCGGCGGATCAGCAGCAGCAGCAGCAGCCGGCGGAAACAGATTCACATCAGCTGACACACAGCGCCAGTTCGGGCAGCTCCAACGTGCAACAACAGCCCAGTGCCACAGCGAGCCAGAGCCAAGGCAACAGCAGCTACTACCGGCAGCAGGACACGGAGTTTGGCCAACAGTCCGAGCAGAGGAGAGAGCAGCGACAGAAGCTAATCAAGTCGGGCGTTGCTGTTATAGCCAAGCAACCCAAGCGACAAGCGACACAGCGTTCACAGAGCCAGCCGGCGATTCTGCAACAACCGCAGCTCAGTCGCAGCAAGCGTCCCGGAACACCGCCCCCGCACGCCGTCAAGAGCATGACTTCCATACCTGCCACGCTGTCCAGCAACAATGTTGCAGCAACAGCAGCTGCAACGGCTGCAGCTGGATTGGGCGCCACGGCGCCGGAGAAACAGCCCTGGCCCAACTCCAAGGACGATTACGAGCTGAGGGATGTGATAGGTGTGGGCGCCACGGCGGTGGTGCATGGCGCCTACTGCATACCGAAGAACGAGAAGTGCGCCATCAAGCGCATCAATCTGGAGAAGTGGAACACCTCGATGGACGAGCTGCTCAAGGAGATCCAGGCGATGTCCTCGTGCAATCACGAGAACGTCGTCACCTATCACACATCGTTTGTGGTGCGCGAGGAGCTGTGGCTGGTGCTGCGCCTGCTCGAGGGTGGCTCCCTGCTGGACATCATCAAGCATAAGATGCGGACATCCAACTGCAAGCAGGGCGTCTTCGATGAGGCAACGATTGCCACCGTGCTCAAGGAGGTGCTCAAGGGCCTGGAGTACTTCCATTCGAATGGACAGATCCATCGGGACATCAAGGCGGGCAACATACTCATCGGCGACGATGGCACCATACAAATCGCTGACTTTGGTGTCAGCGCCTGGCTGGCCACCGGCCGGGATCTGTCCCGGCAGAAGGTGCGGCACACCTTTGTGGGCACACCGTGCTGGATGGCACCGGAGGTGATGGAACAGGATCATGGCTATGATTTCAAGGCGGACATCTGGTCGTTTGGCATTACGGCCATTGAGATGGCCACGGGCACGGCGCCGTATCACAAATATCCACCGATGAAGGTCCTGATGCTGACGCTTCAGAATGAGCCGCCCACCTTGGATACGGGCGCCGAGGACAAGGATCAGTATAAGGCCTATGGCAAGACATTCCGTAAGATGATCGTTGAGTGCCTGCAAAAGGAGCCATCGAAACGTCCGACTGCCAGCGAGCTGCTCAAGCACGCCTTCTTCAAGAAGGCCAAGGATCGTAAATATCTAACGCAAACCCTGCTCCAGTCCGGCCCCAGCATGGAGACACGCGTCCACAAGGCAGCCAAACGTCAGCCGGGCGCCTCGGGCCGATTGCATCGCACGGTCACCGGCGAATGGGTGTGGTCCAGTGAGGAGGAGGACAATGCCAGCGGCACTGGCGGACGCAAGAATCCCTCATCGGATTCCGAGTCCGAGGATCGTCCGATCAATCGTCTCGAACGCGCCGACTCCTCGGACAGCGATCGAGATGAGACGACGCCCGATATAACGCGCAGCCTATCCTCGACTACAATGACGCCAGGTGGCGCTGCACCTGCTCCTGCTTCCGCCTCTGCAACTGCTGCTGGTGCCGCCCAGGAGCTGGCCGCTGGTGTGGCCCAAATGCCGCTGCCCAGCGAAGCGGCCGGCGAGGCGCCACCCGTGAATCTGGTGTTGCGCATGCGCAACCTGCGACGGGAACTGCACGATATCCGTTTCGAGTTTGCCGTGGGCAAGGATACGGCGGAGGGTATTGCAACGGAACTGGTGGATGCGGGCCTGGTGGACGCCCTGGACACACAACCGATGGCCGTGCATCTGGATCAGCTGATTGCCCAATCCGACACGATGAAGACAATAACGTTCCAGCTGAGTTCCGGCGTACAGCCGGGCGAAACGCCCGACGAACGCTCGCTTGTGGGCTATGCGCAGATATCTATAACGGACTAGGATACGGTCACATATCCACCTTAATGTCCTCCCCTACGGTCATCTACCGTTATGTTGCCTGCGCCGCTTTTAGCTATATAGACTAGAAACTAGACTATAACTGTAAATGCTAATGCTAGTTATAGATCGGAGAGAAAAGAAAAGAAAAACGCAAGCCGTTCGTTTACTATAGAAATTATATATGCCTATACTATCATACTAGATATTTGTATCTGTCTCTTTCACTCTCACTCTCTATCTAACTGCCTCCCTCTTTTTAACACTATCTCTATCTCTTTCGCTCTGCGCATTGTAATTACTTCATGGAACCCCCTTTCGCAGTCCTACCTCCCGAAAAAAAAAAAAAAAAAAAGTAATACCTGCCGTAGTTAGTCGCAGCATCCAAGCTAAATCGAAAATCGTGTACTTATTCGTTATTGTTTCTGCATATATAGAAAACAGATATATATATATACTATATATTACAATCCCTACAAAATCATATATGTATAGATATATATCCATATATATATATAATATATGTACATTTGTAGCGGCTACTATTTAAACCCGATTTGCGGGAATCTTTTAATTTATTCTCTAGTTTAAGCTCAAATTTTGTTTTTTTTTTTCCTTATCCCTTTTGCCCCCATTAAATCTTAAATAATATTGTTCGATGAAGTACAGTTGTGTCGATAACAGCTAAATAATTACCAATTAGCGTTAGTAATATTTTGTCTGCTAAAGATTGTATTTAATTGTTCATGAAGTACAGTAAAACCTACATATATACATACATA